CTTTAGAATGAACTTGTTTAATTGATTCCCTTCTTTCCTGACTGATACTTTTACACATTCATTAAGCATAACTTTCATTTCTGCCGGATAGCCTAAAAACATGACAAAAATTCAGCGTTTAACTTGAAGTGCACTATCTGCGTGTGATGTAAAACCTTTCTTCCAGGCTGGGATTCGCAATACCCGGAATAAAAGAGTGGTGGTAAAAGACATTACCAAAGATTTTTCACCACCAAATGTTATAACCTCATCTGTAAAAGTGAAATGCAACTGTAAATTCTAGAATAAATTTGCATTATCTGCTGTAAACCTTGCTTTTACTATTGGCTGCTATTGAATAATGAATAACCTTGAGTGCACCCGTGAAATTTTGCTTGACTTGCCCACCTGAGTGCCTGAAACAAACCCGTTGTACTTCTGCCGCTGCCTTCTTGTTTGCTACGTTGTGGCCGTCTAAATCAACTTGTCTCTAGCGTTAGCCATGAGCCTCTGGGTTCAACATATTCAGAACCAGGGATCAAAGCCATCTAAATGTCCAATGAATGCCTTTGATACTGCTGATATTGTCGACCTCGATTCAGTCGGTTTGGACCTGAACCAAACAAAAGTTTGGACTTCGCTCGATGTTCTCTCCCATGTCGATGGGTCTTATGGACGAAGTTCTGAGGCTCCGGAATCATGATAATATTTTCTGTCCGGATTTACCTGGGCGTATTAGTTATCAAGAAATATTTATAAGCTATTGTGCTATTAATAGTATCATTTTAGTTATTTCTCGGGTAGTTACAATCACCTGGTTCCATAAAACCAACAATAAACAAGGAATAGGCAACAGATGGAAAGGTGAAAACGAAATGTCTCAAATTCTTGTCATTTATAAGAATGTGGCCTTTCGTGATTCTCATAGAACGAAAGTCCAAGTGTTTCTGCAGGCCGGCAAAAGTGTGGAATCGAAAACAATGGATGAATTTCAATGGATAAAGTTAAATAGATCGTCCCGGCAGAAGATAGGCCATGCTCATTTCAGCTGTGAGGACGATTATTTTCATGATAAGATAAATACTAGTGTCAGTAAAGGGCTGGCATTTCAGTGCTACTCGTGTTATTCCCATGGAGCTTAAAAAATAAGCATACAAAAGGCAAATGTGCCCAAAAATCTACCTACATGTGCGGAGAGTGTTATAGAAACGAGTGACACTCCTTTAATTCCAGCGCGTTTTCAATTCGTTAATACTTATCGAATCCACTTCTAGTGCCGACCACCATTTGTACTGACGTAAGGTGACCTGTATATTGATAGTCATCAGGTCCTGTCCACTTTACTGGTTAGTTAGAAGACTTCGCTCCTGAAAACCGAATTGCAGCCTTTTGAACAGTGATCATGGTAACTGCATATCTGGCTACATACTGGATGAAAGGACTGCATCTTACCAGCAACTGTGGATTCCTGCTCACATTCAGGAGTTTGAGTGATGAAAATCCCTTCATGTCCGCTTTTTGGGTAGTGTGGTGGATGTGGCTGGCAAGCGGTGTGTCGGGACAGCTGTTGGAGGTTTGTGGACTTTGGACCCTAACGTTGCTAGAGCACATTCTCGGAACATTGTTGAAGGGAGACACTTCCACCTGCATCGTTTTTGAAGAAATCAGCATCAGACAAGTGCAGCTGTAAAGATTCAGCATCTTTTCTAGATACGCACAAAATTCCACTGTCCGTGTCGCAAAGTGGACGGGAGAGAATTGTAACTTTATACACGATATCTGAATGTTGTGGGGTTATTAGTCGGCCAAGCGGAGCAGAACAGTTGAGGTACCTTAGCTCCGACCTGCCTGAGGAATGTGGCATCACAGAATAGACTCTTTGGTGCGGAGGTAGACAAGTCTACGGACCGGACTCGATGCCGGTACTTGTCTATTCTCAGTGCCATCGTTCATGTGGTTCTTTTATGTTTGGACGGCCCCAACGCGTGTTCTTTAGGGCTCAGTTTGCCTTCCACCCAAGTCGTTTACTAGCACAGTTGTTCATTACCTTCGGCGACTTAAACCACTTTGGAGTCAGGATCAGTTGGTTCCATACACGATTTTGCCAGGTGCGAATCTCCAATGGTTATTCACATGCTGGCAAACATTTCCAGTTGATAAATCTGTCCCTTCGAGGCTGAGATATTCAGTCATACGAAGTTTACGAGATACTCAAGCCGAGTTCGGGTCAGGGTTAGTTTTATAAACTTACTGGAAGCTGATTACAGCTTGATCACTCACCACCGCTGGTGGGAAGATCTTGGGGCCATCTATCAATAACTCTTCATTTGTGGGGTTTCAGTCCACAGGAAAGGGGACTGAGGTACCCCCTAATGCATTGATGATCTTACCGTTTCGGTCAGTCCCAGTCCCTCCGGACACAGAGGACTCGAGCTGTAACCTTTGTTGCATGAAATATATTATTATTATTATTATTATTATTATTATTATTATTATTATAACAGTCGTCGCCTCTGCTTTATGCATGGCATGCAAAATTCACTTGAATGGGTTTGAATTCACCTTGAATTGGGTTGCCTGTATTCTCTAGGTTAAGAGAGGGGTTAAGTTTACCTAACATTCGGTTAGGCTGACCTGCTCATTTGGAGCATACGCACTGTACTTAGGCTGGCGTTGGAGAGGGTGACTATTTCCGCCTAGAGTATCCAAACATCCGTCCGAAAATAGGGTGCTCTTGGCTAGTGACTGTCAGGCTTAAGGCTGAACGGCCCACCGGTAAGGACACGGTGCTGTTTCCAAAGTTGCGGTGAAACGCTAGAGTAGCTTTTTGGGAGGTCGATTTGGTTATAGTGGGATGGGCTGGAAACTAGATCTCCAATGCTGAGAATGGGTAGGGTGCTGCTGCAGGATAGCGAGTCTGAATGTGACCAAGTTCGGTTGGCTTTTCTAAGTTTACTATTGTGTTGCTGACACTACTGGGCCTGGTAGTGTGCAAACTGTTATTAGGACTCCGGCGTTCATGTACAGTGGCCATCCGGCTAACGTATTGTTCTGCAGCTACAGTCGTAGACTCTTCAACAAGATTTAGGGTGGTGGCGTTTGGCACTTTGATTCATTGTCTCCGTAAATGCGTCAAGCCATATGCTCGTTCGATGGTGTTATAAGGCCCGTGTATACTAATAAAACTACTGGATGCCAGATACTGTCTAGCGTGGTATGAGTTAATGAACCACAGCAACAAAAGACAGGCATGTGTCTCCAAATTCCTGCGAAGATAGATGACCTGGTATTCGACGGGAGACACGTTACACTCTTGGTGACAGAGCGTACAATTATTCAACCAGTAGGTGGTCGGGTATGTGGTGTTCAAAGAGTCATGTGACTGCATAATTCTTTCGGTAGCCTCAGTGGACAGGAAACTTAGCAAAATGATTTCAATAGACAGTCGGAACTGGCTTCTTAATTTGGCCGAGAAAGATGCATCAGCGGCAAGCAGATGTTTATCACGTGCCCAGATTTAACGACATATGGCTGGAGTCATCGTTTGTTGGAAGGTATCTTGTGGTCTTAGCCCTTCATGATGTTAATTGTTACGCTGACTGCGGTAGAAGCCATTTCCTGTCAGTCCGCTGCTAGCAACCATGTAACGAATCTTGGAACAGTTGGATCAAATGTGTTCCCGCGGAACCACCCGCATTTTCATTTGGCCACACCCAGGGCTGGGAAAAACGCTTCTAATTTCTCCACCCCTCATAGGTAAAAACTATTTAGAAGGCATACAATGATGCTGCCGTGAATCATCTCATGGACGAAGATTCAGGCTGTATATATCCCGGGATAAGGATGACAGGGCCCCAGCCTAATGATGGTGTGCAACAACTGGCCCACTTCTGATGCCCCGCCCCATCACTAGCTTAGGCGAAGCCCCGGAGCCACTTATGGGGGGTGACACGGCATTTATGATTTGAACGCATCGAGACAGATTTCATTCATAGCTGTGACTCCATAAGAGTTTAGATAACAACGGATGCTCTCCTCATACTGATTGTTCGAATCATGCAACTGAAGCACTTCAAACACAGACTCAGAGTCCGCTTAGGGTCACGGAGTAAACTTACCGAATAAGTTACAAGTTCTCTCTTCGTATATTTTCCTTCTCCACACCGAGATTTCCAGAAACACGCAGTGGGGGCATTCGTCTTCTAGATGCGAAAGCCAATAAACCGGAAGCTCACCCACTAGGTGTTGGGAACATAGTTCCAATGAGTCATACCACTGCCGGGACTGTAGGTTTTCCCAATTTTATTCTCTCCAACAATGTGCATGGTTCATCCTTCAAGACAATTCGCGTAGGGTTCATGGTGAGGACGATTGTCTTGGCAAACGGGTCGGTGAAATATGGGTCGCGGAAAGAATAGAAGATGGCGAAATTCATCTTGGAAGAGTTAATTCAGAAAGAAAGACTAGATGGGTCGGGAGGTTCTGTTGTTAATGCCTTAACTCCTGGACAAAGTATTCACTAATCAGGGAAGTAAGTCAGCTTTTCTACGTTTATCCTTGCTATAAGTATGTGTGAAGACAAAGTTTCACTTTGAAGGCAGCCACCAAGTGTTCTCATGCTAACTACTGAGATAAGGCTACCCGGTTGTTGACTACTCGATGGGAGAGACGCAGATTCACGCTAAGTTGGTCCGATCGTGGTCCACTGACTACAGAAGTTAGGCTCACTTTCACGAAAGATTCTTCTTTCCCTCCGTGAAATGTTGGAAGCCACTCCGCTGTCTAGACCTAGAGGAGAGAGTTCAAAAACCACAAGTTTCCTCTACTTGCACTCATTAAATTAGATGTTAGGCCCGATTTGAAATGTAAGCTCTGGTTATGTTTGGGTTTTCACAGTAAAAAGATAAATCCTTCAACATTTACAGATATTCTACTGAACGAGAGAAAAGCTTTTTTCTTTTACCACCTATGAATATTTGCATTATTCAGTAATTGAAGATTGTATGTCGTTAGTATGCATCAGTAGCTTGGACACCAAGGTTATTACTGGCTTCAGCCTTCATATTTCGTCCATGTCTTATGTCTGAAGGGTCGTCTATATTGTCTTCAGGGCCTAAAAGACAGTACGGCACTCTTGAATGTACTACAACTTCCCATAATGCCCACAGGATCTACACTGTTAAACCTGGGGATACTCTTGTTTCAATCGCAGTAAGAAATGGCACAACAGTAAGCAACATTCCATGTACTTCTTTTTGAAAGGTTCAGCGATTAAGGTGGATTAATCGCTTATGGAGCTCTGATATATCCAATATAACTACGCTAAAAGTTCCTGTGAGATCTCACTCTGAGTCACATAATCTCACTCCGACGAATTCGATTGAGTTGTGTCCTGTCAAAAAGAAGTTTGAACCAGATAATGAAGATGTAGTACAACTTGCTTCCGCTAGCCTTTATTTCAAAGAACTTTCAGAAAGAGTGGAAAAAGCAAAGGAAGCTGCATCCCGTTGTTTAGAGAAAAGCAGGTATGTAAAAGTAAATGTTGGTGATAAATGTATCATTTGACTGCCAGAAAATTTTTTTGTTTTGTTGCTGTACACTAGGAAGCAAATTTGTTACTTGATTGTCGCGCAGCCAGTACTTGAAGCTTATAGATATTATTCGCTTGCCACTTTTGATAAAAGGGAGTGTTTTTTTAATACCTTATGCAATAAAAGTTCAAGAAACGAATGAGTTTCATTGATCTCTTACTTGCATGTTCCAGCTAGCAGGATGCTGTGAAAGAACTTCTTTCCTTTCTATAATAATTAGGACACTTTAAGCACACAAGTTCCGAGAAAAAATGGAAGTTTAGTCAATAAAGGGATTGAGGTTTACTTTGATTGGATGAACGTGTCGTCTTAAGCAGACCTCGAAGATCTCAAGGTTGCTTAGCAAAAAACCATTGGAAGTCAAACAAGCTAACCAAAGGAGATATACTTTATTGTGATGATTTTTGTTAGCGAAAGCTGTAGGTAAGTATCTTGAAGGGAATTGTCTTGCGCTTTCAAGTTGAAATACCATCTCTCGTTCTGTTTAATTCTAATTAACTGTGTCAGCAGATTTTGGTGGCAATTCCAAGCTCCCTTTGATGTAAACCCTGCAACGTTGACTTGCTTTTTCATATTTACTAACGAAATTAACAATCCTCTAAGGAAAGCGGCAAAAAACAGGAAGACCTATACTTGTGGAGCTGTGCTTCATCAGTCCAAGTACCTGGTCTTCAGCCCGTGGATCATGGGTTCACATTCAACTTCTCATTCTGAGGTCTAAGCGAACAGATGAAAAGCATTAGCCTTCATGCAGCAGACGTAGATCATTTCCCGGTGCACATGTCTACATGTGGTTACAGCATAGTTACAGTAGCTGTACTAAGTAACTGAAGGAAAGCTACAAACATGACAGTTGACAATTCACTTAGCAATTATTTGATGAACACAGTAATTTATGATGGTTTGTCTAGTTATCTTAGGTAGGGTTAGTGACTACAAATCAAGTATGCCATCAAGTTGTGATGAACAAACAAGTTTTCGCTGAGTTCTTGCGTTAAAATTATTGTACTAAGTTGAAATATAATGTGAGAAATGTACATCACAAAAGTGTGCGAACTGTGAGTTTCAGGACACTAAGATACTTCGCACATTAAACAAAATTCATTTAACTCGGTTTCAAACTGGCGAACGTCATATACAGCTGATTGGATCTTCATAAATTATAAGTAACCTGATTCCGACTGTCTGTTTAGGGTCGAGTGAGTGGTACTGTAGTCTGTTCCATTCTACCCAATGACTGTGAAACATGGCTATTAAAGGTAGAAGACACGAGAAGACTTCATGTGTTTAACCACCACTGCCTTCGTAACATAAGCCGTGTTTCATGGTATAAGCCTGTGAGTAACACAGAAGTTAGGCGTGGAGTTTTAAGGGGAAGAGGTAAGACAGTGGATGTGGTTTGAAACGTTATTGACAGATGGCTGCCTAGGACATGTGTTACGTGTGCCTAGCCACCGTCTACCTCGTCCCAAAGTGTTGACCGGAGTAGGTTCAGTCAAGAAAAAAGCTTGGGGTAGCGAGACTAAAATATGGCATTATTGTATGACTGTTGGTTTGAGTCATGTTGGGGGATACAGACTAGCCGGCTGGAGTCCGCGAGACAAGAGAAACCATTAGGTGAAGACTCTACGTGATGATATGACTCAGAATCGATGTGAGTGGCCCATGCATCCGCATATTATCCTCATCTTAACCTTTATACTTAATCACATCATCTTTTTCCTCTCTTTTACTTCTTTTGATCGATTTTCTTCTGCTTCTCCATCTTCCACTTTTATTGCCTTGTTGCTTGATGTGTTGATATGAGATGTGGCACCTTGGATCGTTACGCAATAATGCGTGGTCCTATGTTGATCTTGATGATGATGAAGCTACCTTGTTCAATCGAATGTTTGTTCTTTTATTTAGTTATAGAAATCAAGCAGTGACAAATACTTTTAAAAGTAATGCAAACTAAATTGTAAAGGACTGTTCCTCAAGGCTTTTAATGTTATTCTATGTTTTTAACCTCATACGATAAAATCTTTTTTTTTCTTTGTTCTTAATACTTGTATTTCTGGTACTAAGTTAGATAACAAGTCTTACCAGTGAAAAGTAGTATCTCAAATTGGATATACGTTGCTCATTTTAGTTAGCTAAATAGCTCGTGTAATTTATCGTAGCTATTGTTGAAGAGGATTTGTAACGTGTTACTGTTATTTATATGACCTCCTGAACCACATAAAAATTGGTATATTTCCAGCCTTCAGCTTTGGAACTGATTGTTATAACTCAGTTAAGTTTTTCCCCTTCGTATGTAGCAGTGGAAATGAGTTTGGAGTGTATAAATGACGCATTAGGTGAATCCCTACTCTGTAATATGCATTTCATTGACGTGTTAGTTTGAAAGGAGCGCTTGTCTTTAGTCCTATTAGCTAATCATACTTTGAAGAAAAATCGGTCTGGTAGTGGTAGACTATAATCAGTAGTTATTTCTCAGAAGATGTACTTTAGAGGTTTTATAAGATGCTTCATTTTTATTTTCGTTGAATAGGACATCTTTCGTTTTCTGTGTTTGCAAAGTCATAGCGCTAGTCAGTCAAACAGATAAAATCAGTGTGTAGAACCTCGCACACCAGTGCACCATCTCAGGTTACCAAGCTTCACAACAGCATACAAAAAATCGGTGGATAGAAAAAAACATATCAAAGTAAACAAAGGTGTATAAAAGGAGAAACAGTTTGAAAATGAAGGTTGGTAAGAATATTCGGGATTTAGAAGCCAGATAGTGAGTACATTTGCACCACGTTTGGTGGAATTCAGGTTACAGTGAAGAATACTAGGCAAGATAGGCAAGTCAATCCATGAGGTTGTGAACTTCAATCAACTGAGATGGCTTGGATATGTATTGCGGATTTCGACTGACTGCTTACATCAACGTCCCATAATGGTTGGGTAACTTGGATTAGGCTGGAAAATAATTCAGGGTGGCCAAACCAAGAAGTGGGAACAGTCGATAAAGTCTCTGACTGTTGGTCTGAGCCGTATAGGGGAAATACTGACTATATGACTTGGATCAGTGGTTTAGAACACTTGGTGTCATGGCTAAAAATCTGTCAAAGTGATGCAGATGAATTCACTCCTCGGCGTCTTCTACAGCTTGATTGTTTATTCTCTCATACAACTTTTCCCACTTTGATATCAGTTCTTATCCGCCTGTTCTTTGTATACCACTGTGAAGTATGGCAACTTGAGCTAATTTAGGTGTGTGAAAGGTTCTACGTTAATTCTGTGTCCACCTACTGACGTTTAGACAACCAAGTAGTATCATAAAACCCTATACATATGGCTCATTGCATATTGCATAAAAGTACAAATGATTACTAAGTTGCAAGACGATTCATCCAGTCTCAGATCAACATTTATTTTAGCCCATTGATTCAACTATTTGTTCATGGATTCATCTTTACTTCACCTATTTTAGTATGAGTAGTTGCAATACATGTGACGCTTATTTAATGTGTAATATATCGTTCAGTGTCACCGATTGCCTCGTCACGCAATGTTGGCCTGATTAGGCCCAGGCTGGAAAAAGGCCCGAGGTGACCAGACTAAAACATAGCACTAATGCATGAAGTCTCTGACTGTTGATTTAAGCTATGTAGGGCGATGCAGACTTGGTGGTTTGAGTCCGCGGGACAAGAGGAACCACTGGTGGTTGGAGACTGACTCTAGGGGATATGGCTCAGAACCGATGTCGGTGGTGTAGATGTATCCCCACACACATTATCCTCATCTTAACGATTCTATACCCAATCTCACCATTTTTTCATTCCTCCTTTCTTTCTTCTCGTACTTTATATTTCTTTTGACTGCATTCTCTTATCTTCATCTTTCACCTCACTACTTTTCTACTTGATGTAGTGATATGAGGTGTGGCAAGTGGGACCGTTACGCAGTAATGCCTGGTCCTATGTTGTTAATGATGATGATGATGATCGTTCATTGTTGTAGAGACCTGTACATAATTATAAGTTTAGTTTAACTAATTTTTAATTTTAGACTTCATGAAATTATGGCTGACTGTGATCCCAATACTCATGATTGTTTCCTTCTACCCAATTTATCAGTAAATGATGAAACTGTAGTCATGGTGACATCATCTACCACTTCTAAACTGAATTCTGTTAATGAATCACGAAACACTTTCTGTATAATCCCTACTAATAGTCTTCATGATCCCTGTTAATATATATACATGCATATATAAAATGAAAACTGATCTCAGTAGTGCACTACTCTTTTGTTCTTCTGAGGTGCAATCAGTAGATATGCTTTTATTCTGTTGAACTGTGATCCTGTTGTTTTTTTTTTCTTTTTATAGTCCTATTCATTTTAACCATCTGTATGTGTAATTAGCTTTGTACATGTTTAATATATTTTATTGTTTGTTCAGTTCGCTTTTTTCATTCACTTCATTGTTGTTTATCTCTATGTTTAATCTTGTAATTATTGTGTTTCTTTCCCATCTAATAAGGATATAGATTTTTATCCTTGTTTTTTTTTCTCTTAAAATTTTTAAAAAGGCTCTTCCAAATTTGAATTATTGTTATTATTATCATTTATTGTTTTACATGATGTTGATTAAGTATAGTTTTGGCATGAATCTCCTTAGTTAACTCGATTAAAAGAGAACTTGTAATTACTTATAAAGTGTGTACGAAATTGTATTGCTATTTCACTATCCAATGAGAAGTGAATAAATATAATCTGTGCTTATATATCATCGAATTATTACACTATTCCTAAGTTTATTGGTAATGTTGAATGTTTCAATCATAAGTTCAAGCTTATTGTGTTATTTATTTGATCATATTTAATGTAGATGTCTGTATTCACATTGGAATGAAGGAATAAGGATGAAAGTCACGTTTGACTTGAACTCAGCTATCTTCAGGCATAGTTAAGATTGTTTTTCAGTGTTATTACTTGTATTAAACCATCGTTGAGCCCATATACCAACAGTGACTGATCAATTCGGTCCAATCAGCGACGGTGTAATACAAGCAATAAGACTGAAAAACTATACCCGTCGCATAAGAAGTGACTATCATGGCTCGGCGGTGTAGTGGAGTACCGGTGGGAACAACATCACTCACTGGGAGGCAGGTAAATTCGGCTGACGAGTCCCAAATAGGATTAAGTGCGCATCCTAGATTCCACTGCTAGCCACTGCCCATCATTACTATAGTTAAGGTTGGTTTAAATTTGGCTATGGTTTCTGCGAGTTTCAGTATACGTCTTTGACTGCTTCTATATATAGTACTTTCAAAGCTGTTTCAATATTCATTTTGTGACCTGTTTCTATGATATGTAATATGTTTTCTTGATGGCTGATGTCAGCCTACTTCTCAAAATGATACTGTTCAACTCCCATCTCTATGGTAGAGTGATATGGACGCCTTTCTTAAGAATCGTGTATAGAGTTGGCTTCGGTGCTACTTGACCTCTACAACGGTTTATAAACTTAAACTCATATCCATTTTCCACAAGTGTTTCGGTCAGTAATTTGATATCTTCATCCATCATATCCGATATACTAATACGATAGATCCTATTAAAACAGGCATTTTACCAGACCTCGCTTGTATTGGATTGGACAAAAACTGTGAGAATTCAGGTATAGTTCTGTCCATAGAAACAGGTCACAAAATTAATGTTCAAACAGCTTTCTAAGTTTTATATAAAAGTAGTTAAGAGTAACAGGGACCGTTACCATGGTAGTTTGAGATTAATTACCGACCAGTTTAGAAAACAGCAATCAGGTAGTCACCTATTTGCTGTAGTTTCCAGAAGTTGGACTAGTGTGACTCAGTGGCCTAATGGAAGTGACTAGTCGCGGGTTCGGGTATTAGTGAAACAAAACATCCACAACCACTTTATGCATATTCGTGCAGCAGACAAGGATCTACACGTGTACTGTGGGGGTTAATGATATTAACTGGCTGGCCGAACTTCGGTAGGCGAAACGGGGCTTGAATCCGTAATCCAACTGTTGATTGTCATCTTAGATTACAAGGCATGATAGAAACAATATCACCCAATCCGTAGATTATCCTAAACCTTGTTTTTGTACTTGCAGTCAGTCATCAGCTGCAGGGTGTATCTATACTTTCTTTATGTAACTCATTTCATAGGTGTAAATTTTCGCCTGAGTTACAAAGGAAGTTGGTGAATATTTTAATCTTTCGCTGTTCTCGAATAACACACTAGTAAATGACTGTTGTAAACATCAACGAGAAATTGATATTGCCAAAAAAGGAATACTGTGAAATGACTAAGAACGTTGTGTGCAGATGAATATACAAAGATATGCCTATGTAAAGCTAAGGTTCATTCGACAAAAGGTATGTTAAACCACCTTATGGAGGGATGAATTGAAGAGACGAAATACCGAGAGAATTCGTTACATATTCAACATAGGTAAGAGAATTATAGTTGAATGAATTTCTCTATATTGAGAGATGATACAGTGAAACAGGTAAGTGGAATTCAAGACTTGTCAGCTGGGTGTATTTGCTGTTGAATAACCGATGGTCTTCTCATTTGGACTGGTTCCCGATTCCCATCACTTCAAATGACATAAAGTTACCCACAGTAGTACAAGAAGAACTATCTCAAACCGATGGTCGCCATTTTTTACCGTAAGCTGATCATATCAAGGAATGAATGATGTGAGTAATTGAAATCTGTGAAAGGGAATATAGGATATATGACTAAAAGAACACTATAATACAGCAGAAACTTGCTAATTAATCCCCAACCCAAGAATGATATTTCAGCAGAACAGAATTGTTAGTGGTGACTCTGCCCTGATGAATGCTAATTGCTTAAAGTATCATCATTTCTTTCTAACAGCCACCAACTTCAGGAAGCAGTACCAGAGATATGGAGTTATGAATGGCAGCCTAATGATTGACAGAGAAACACTCCAAATATTACTCATCATTAGAATGAATTGGTGGATATAAAC